GGCTTTAGCGCCAAAGCTACCTGGGGGATGGAGCCAGTCCAGAAAGGGTCAGGTAGGTTGCCCCTGCTTTTCTTTCAAGAGTTGTTGTGTGCGAAGAAATACGGTAAAATGCCTACAGCCCCTTTGAGGAGGGTGCACTGTCCTCTGAGAAGTGGTCTCGCTGTTATAATCTCCCGCAACCTCAGTCTGGAGCAGTCCAAATGCCCCCTGTAGGCCGCCCTCCAGATGCAGCCTCTCCAGCCAGCGTGGTGCTTCCCAGAGGGACACCTCAGAACTGGGAAGTCAGGCAGCTGTGGGATGTTCACAGAGGAAATCATCAAACTGCTTCAGATTCCCATCAGCTGTAGTATCTCTTCTCTCCTCTGATGGGAGGCATTTCGTAAATATTATTGGAAATGTTTTCTTCTCCATTAATCTAGCCTCTGAAATGCGCTGTGTGATTTGGCCTGTGAACCTGCTCACAATGTACTAAAGTCCAGGAATGCCTGATTTATCTGCTCAGGACTGTTTCCGACGTTACTGCCATCGCATCGAGGCTGCTGTTTAACCCCTAAGAAAGCGGGGGTATTTCATCCATGTCTGCCGGAGGGTTCAGATCGCAGCAGCGCTGTTTTCTTACAACATCCATGGGCTTTTCACACAAAAGCTTTTTAATGAATTTTATTTCAATTTTTTTGAATAGTGAGATGCCAAAGTGCGGCCCTCACAAGTAGATCGCAGGCTCCGTTTCCGAAGTGAAACTTGGCCCATCTAGAAGCATGGTGTTACCACCCCATCAAATTTATAGCTTTGGCACTTTTTTATTAAAGACATTTCTGAGAGCGTTAAAGCCCTTACATACTTTGCAATAATAATGAGAACACTGGAACATGATGCAGAGTGTGTATCGCTGGGCTCCCAGAGCATCTCTTCCTCTTCGCTCCCATCTCATCCCATAACCACCCTCCCGCGGGAGGAGGGGAAGCAGCGTCCTTCCTCGGCGGCGGCGATGGCTCTTCCTCGGGCACCGCACTTGGCGTCTTCACAGCAAAGCTGAGGATGTGGGTTCCATTTCCAAGGATGTGTGGTCAGGAAAAATACAAGCATAATATGTTGAGAATATAATTATATCATGGCCCCACCCCGACCAATTCTACTCATCCTCAAGGACCCTATTCAAAGTCTCCTTCCCACACAAAGTAGTCCTTCCCTGGTTACTCCCAACTGGAGGTCCTTTTTTAGCCCTCTGATAGCGTTAATTTCTCTTTATTTGTATATATATACAGGGTGTCCCCCCAAAAGTATACATACTTTAACAGCTCAATTGGTGTTTCTTTTCAGATTTAACCCATTGGAATTAATAATCATTCAAAGTGTGTATGCATATTTTGGGGACCACATATATATATATGTGTGTATATATACATATACATATACCTATATGTATAATTACATATTAATAAATTTTTATGATGGAATTAACTTGCTGGTCACTCATGTATTTTCTTGTTATGTGTCTTCTGAGGGCATTTAAAACAGTGATTCGAACACAGTACAATTGCTTCTCTTCTCACCCATTTATATCCTGTTTCCCCACCCGAGTTTAAGCTCACTGAGGGCAGGGGTCACGATTTATGCCTTTCCCTACATTTCACATCTCCTCGAGTTCCCGAGTTCCCTGCGCACGGGAAGCCCTCAGTAACTAGTTGATCAGGAGGAGAGGCGGTTTGAAAAGTGTTTCTTTGTAAGGGTGAGAGTGACCTGTGTTGTTCATTTTAAAAGCCTCCGTGGGGCAGCTGCGCACGTCCCCGTGGGCAGGCGCGTGTTTGCCCCCGAGACGGGCTTGCGGGCGGCGCCCTGCCGCTGGTAGAGGGTTGTCAGCGCTGTCAGGGACACGCTGCGGTCAGCCCTCAGCCGTGGGCCTTCGTCATGGCTTCCCGAGTTAGGAGGAGGGATCGTACTGGGCAGGCCATGCCCGAGTACGGAGTGTGGTAATTCCCAAACCGTGTGGGAGATGCCGTATTTAATCCTGCCGGACGTTTTCCTTGGACGCGAGGACCCACATGACTGCGACACCCAGGTGCTGTCCGAGCTGCTCAGCTCCAGATGCGCTGGTCCTCAGTACTGACGGCACTTACCTAAGTGCTGAGTTGCCCTTTTCCTTTTTAGGGGGGAGATTGGTCCAGCCAAAATTTCCAAAGAGACCGACGTTCTTTGATTTTTTTGATACTCTTGTGACTCTTTACTCGTGTTTCCCCATCTCCTAGTGCCCTTCTCTCTCCAAAGTCCTCACGTGATGCATGTTTCTCATTTGCTTTAAGACCCCTTTCTACCGGCCCAGTAATACATCCCAAATGCTGTATGTTTATATGTGTTATAAATATTAACTTTTCTGCCTCCCGGTCAAAATATTCCATTCATTCTGTGCACGTGCTCACAGAGAAGAATCAGGAGGTGAGCAGTCTGACTGAACTAATTAATTGTAACGTAAGGAAGACCTTTGGCCTCTTGGCCCTCCCACAGATGTCTCTGTTTTTTTAAAAAACAGGTTTCTTTTTAGGACCAGATGACTTTCCTATTGGTAGAAATTCAACCACCATAAAAGAGTATATTGAATAAATTCGGATAGGCTTGGGGAAGACAGTTTTCAATACTAACTACCATTTATTAAATATTTATTAGGTCTCAGGGACAGTGCCAGCACTCCCATCCATTATGCCATTTAATCCCCTCAGTGACTCTGTGACGTAAACATTACTATGGACACTTAATCAAAGAAGAAATTAAGACTCAAAAAAAATTAAATAATTTGCCACAATTCACACAACGCCTGAGGAGCGGGAGTGGGCTCTGAACCTAAGGTTGTGATGGCAAAGTTCATGGCCTCTGCCGTAGTCTCTGGTGCCGAACTTTGGAGAGAAAGGTTACTTGTAGGTACAGTTAGTCGGGAGTTTTCTCTGTGTGTCTGCTCTGCCCTCTGTGCCGTTTCATCCCTGTACACAGCGTGTGGCTCTTTTGTAACCACGTCCATGGCAGTCGGAAGGGGTGGGGGGCGTTCAGTTGTTGGGGAGTCAGCAGCACCATTCAGCATGATTTTGTGTTCATTTGGGACCCACCGACATACACATGTCCCAACTGTATTCAGTTAGGCCTTCTTCTATCACAGTTGCGTTTTACATAAATCAGTCCCAGTCAAGCTATGATTCCTAAACTGATGAAGCAAAGGACACAATTTTGAAAACCAGCTGTGGTGACTGTAACTTAGAAAGAGGGGACAGAAATGACCCTGGAGATCCTAGACTGATTCGTTAAACTGTAGTTGAGAGATACCATCCATGGGAATCGGAGCATCTAATGTGTCTCGCGTTAGGCTGGGTTCTGATACCCGGGGGGGATGGAAGAGAGGTAAAATTGGAGCTTAGATTCCATTCTGCACGGCGTCCTTTTAATAAAGTAAAGGAAGACACTGCGTTTCACAGGGACTCGTTAGCCAGCGCCTTACAGAATGGCGTGATACCAGAGAGATCTTATTAATTGTTGTCAGCGGGGACTGGTGTTTCATCATGATTTTATCCTTGGTGGTAAATGGCTTTAACTCAGTCCTGGATGAGGGACTGGAGAGCGAGGTGCCAGCTGGTGATGGGAAACATCTTGGCAGTTGGCAAGGTCTTCCTTGCCTCGTCTCTGTGCATAGTACCTGATTATTCAACAGAGAGAGAGGAAGGAGAAGAGAGAGAGAGAAACATCAGTGTGAGAGAGGAACACTGATGTGAGAGTGAAACATCGATCAGTTGCTTCCTGTGTGCACCCGACCTGGGGTCAAGCCCAAACCTAGGTATGTGCCCTGACTGGGAATCGAACCTGTAACCTTTTGGTGCACGGGATGACACTCCACCCAACTGAGCCACCGGCCAGGGCTGAAGCATGTAACTTTTAAACTACAAATCTATTGCAGTAGCAGAATGGTCCAAAGGTGTCAGCTGGTCATGATTAGAGAAGGGATCAGTCACCATCCTAGTGGTGGCGGCATCGGCTTCCTGGCTAAGGGGGCCTCACCCATCAGTGCCCATTGCCTGCCCTTCTCTACCTGAGCCTCCACTTTTTCTCGCTTGTCTGTCTCTGCTCATCTTATGACAGCTGTTTATCAGGGGTCAAGTCACAGTAGCAAGAGCAGTGGTTAACGTGGCGAGTGGAAACTCATAGACTGGGGGAGATGATGGGTTTCTTTTGCAAACCAAGGAGCCGACTGATTTGTCGTCTCAGCTGGCTGCCTTAGACACCTCTCTGTGTTAGAAAGATTCAGGCGATGTGGTAGACATAACCTGTG